TACATTGCTTTATAAAATCACGAAGGACATAAGTGATTAGCTAGGATCTTTTCCCTAGGGTTGCAGAATTGAAAACTAGACAGGTTTAAGATCAGGGGAAAGATTTAAAAGGAACCTGAAGGGCAACCTTTTCACACCGGTTAGTTCATATATGGAATCAAGTGCCAGAGGAAGTAGTAGATGCATTTGGACAGGTGGATGAATAGGAAAAGTTTTAGGAGGATATGGGCCAAATGCAGGCAAGTGAGACAAGTTTAGTTTGGGAATCTTGGTCAGCATGGAGGAGTTGGACCGAAGGGTCTGTTTCTGTGTGGTATGACTCTGACCAATCAGGAGAGGAAGTAGATTATTCAGCACTTTTTAGCCTGCTCCGCAATGACCGTGAGTTTTGTTTTGTCTAGCAAGTGTTTACTGCTGTAGTTCAGTTATGGTTATGTATGTAGGAGATTTTAAACCTGATCACATGATTTCTCAATAGTGTGAGGACCAAGTATCCAGGTGTGGGCCTGAAGTCCTCTATTTTAGAAGGCCTTGTAGCAGGTGATGGTGTCAGCCACACTGTGGGACTTGGACATCATGCATGAAGATATGAAACATGGGGTAATTGTACATTTGACCTTGGAATATTATGGAAGGGTGAGGAGAAATCATTGAAGCTGTAGGCAGCCAACTATCTTTCCATTAATGAAATGTTTGGTGTTGGTAGGGACAAATTAGCATCTTATTTTTTATGTATGATAGTCTACACTCAAACATTTCAAGGGTGATAATTCTTTAAAAATATCTTCTGTCTGTGAAGCATCAGTTTTTGTTTGTTTTGCGATCACTGCAACCTATTTACCTCTGCCAGATATGTTAGACAAATGGGTGAATTTTAGTGATTTTTATACCAAATCCAATGTACCAAGTAGAAATGAATTTGTTTTTGGCAATGATCTGGATACTGAACTAATTAAGAATCAGCTAACACTTGGGGATAATATGATTTTTGAGGTTTTATTATTTTTTTAAGAAAGTTTGGGCTGTTTTAAAATATTGCAGCTTCTGTGGTAGACGTTACTGAAGTTCTCAAAATGTGAACAGAGTTTTCAGTGCAGGTTATTGGAAGAATCTTTGCCTGAAGCCACTTCAGGAAGGTGGAAGCTTTCAATAAAACATTTTATTTTGAGTTTTGTAGTTATAGAGCAGGAACCAAGCGGGCAAAAGCCTCAAAGATACTTGTAATTGTAGTAGGGTTATGTTGAGATGTGGCTGTAATACCTGGTTCGTTTGTGGTCAAGGAGTTTCAGGGCCAAAGAGATTACCAGAGAGATTCACTGAGGTCTTTCCAGAGAGAGTAATTGTAATTGTAGTGTTGAGTTCACTGGCTTAGTAGAGCTCTGGATTCTGTTGAGTACTTTCCTGTTAAAATTATTATAAGGTTTACAATTATTTCAATTCATTAGAATTGGACCATCAAGATAATGCCAGCTTTTTATCTCTTTCCAACTTGTTGCCCTTCATGTAGCTTTTGTAGGAGATTGTCTTTCTGTATTTTATACTCTTGTAAACAAATTAGGTGTTAAATGATGAAAACAACTACAGCTTCCTTTCTCTAGTGACAGTTGTCCTCTGTAATTGTGTTGCTTTCCTCTAGGCTCCTAGGAACATGCATATTAGGTGCAGGAGTAGGCCACTTGGGTTCCTCAAGTATCTTTGCAATTCAACAGAATCATAGCTGATCTGATTTGTTATGGATCAGACCAGACCCCCTCAAAATATTTTTAAAAGGTAGCCTAGACCCTAACTTTTTCTCGTTTTAAAGGTAGATGTCAAGTGCCCTGTTCCAGATGTGATGTGACTGGTCAACCTACTTGACATTGAGCGAAACACTACACAATTTATTTAAACACTATAGCTAAGATACAAACAAAAAGAGGAATTTCCAATAACTTAACTCTCTATTGGATAACTTAGCCGAATAACAGATACAGTACCTATTAATAATTAATTGTTCCAATATAGTTGCATCCCATAAACAAACCCCTGGCAAAAAGGCAAATTCATGCACAGATTCTTGCATGCAGTTCTCCAATCCAGGAAGGAAAAACATGTAATTTCAGAGATAATGGTAGCTAGGAATCATTCACTGAAACTTGCAACTCTTTTATGAGACCACCCTGCAAAAAAAAGGCTTCTGATGCTATTGAAAAATATGAAACCCAGAAATCTGAATCTGAGAGCTGGTCATGTCCATTCAGGCTGCTTCCATTTTTAAATAAAAACTTTTAAATTAAAAAACCTCAAAGTCTCCAAGTTGTTTACTTAAGTCATCTTCAGTAGCCAGTTTGACACACCTGCCTTGCAACCTCTCCCACAAAAAAAGGCAGGGCAAAATAACCTTCTTAAAAGTGACAGCACCCTTGTAGAATAATACTCCACATTCCCTTTCACCTCTGATAACCTTTCACCCTTTGATTAACAAGAATCCATTCACTTTGGCCTTTATTTTTCAGCAGTGATCTCTAGCTCTCGATTCCCATAAGAGCAAACATTCTTTCCAAATTCACCTTCTAATGACCATTCAGGATCTAGTATGTTTTATGTAGTCACATCTTACTTTTCTAAACCTTTGTTAGTACAAGCTTAGCCTGTGTAACCCTTCAGGCAACCCACCAATGCAGATCTTAGTCTAATAAACCTTCTCTGAGCACTTCCTGCACATTTTAACATTCTTCATTTAAGTAAGGCCAGTACTGTATAATACACTTCAGATGTGGTTTCTCCAGTATAATTGAAATACAGATTCTACTTTTATTGAGAGAAATTGAATATAAACAATAACATTCTGTTACCTTAATTACTATCAGGACTTGCATCTTAACCTTTTGTGAATAATACTGTAGAATATTTTGGAACACAGTATCACAGAGCTGTTTGGGGAATCAAAGCTGGCTCAGCTCCACATTTGACTCTGGTTTGTATGAAGCCATTTTCTTCTGTTGGTTTGGATTTAAATTGGCTGAAACTGGTTTCACCTGCACAGTCTGAACCGAATTATTGTCTAACGATCCCTAGTTTTAAACTTAAAGTACTCACCAATTTGGAGATATGAGTTGTAACTGATAATTGGTAAGTCTTCAGCGTATCTACTGAACATTCCTTGTCTGTTACATAATCAGAATCTCTCACTCTTCCTTTCTTGGCTTTTCCGCATGTTTGATGAGTTCACCACTGTACTGGTTACCAATATTTTGTGGAGAAGAGAGATATCAAATTCACCCTTGTTGGTCTGCCCAGCATTAGAGTGAGGACAGGGATGTCAGGCTGGTAGCCCCACTGAGGGGGATGGGCACTGTAGGCCCCTATTCTTTGCCTGACTCTAATAGACAACAGTCTCCCCCAGTAAAACCCAATAGAAGCCCCTCCAGGGTAGTAATGGACATGGTTATGATCTTTCATCCCTGTGGTCCTGTCAGTGGGGTATGAAGCCTACTGCTAAGATGCTGCTTTGATTAAGCTGACAGGCCTTACCCATAGTGACTGGAGAGGTACATTCCAATGCCTTCACAAGATGGCCCTTACTTGTGTCACATCTCGAGCTGATAGTACAACACAGTCATAGATTTAATTTTAATAAAGTTTTATGAAGTCAATTTCTTACTGCTGACTACCCTTCCACATTCAGATCTCGTAACCCCCTATGTAGTACAGTGCTGTCTTCAGTTTCTCACCCCTGTACAGTATCTAACATTCAACCTCAACTGCAATCTGACAGTGACTGATATTTTCCTTTAGTTTGTGCCAGAGGAAGCAGCTGACTAATTTTCCAGTCTGCCTTTGGGAAAATTTGTTGGAGGTGAGGATGCATTAGGGAGTCATCTCAATCGTCCTGATTTTAATCCTCCACTACACCACAGTCTCCTTGTGTCATTACTTTCTCATTGCATCAAATGAGGACAGACCTCTGTTGCAACTTCCGACTATGATTGAGTTCCAATATGTGCTGACAGCATTGGTTAAGTTTATTGGGAGGGCTTGTTACAGGGAAAGGATGGCAAAACCTACTGAGAAATCAACCACCTACTAAACTGCATTAGGAAATGGCAAATTCCATTATCTGCCCTGTCATGAATCGAAGCATTAATGGCTGGAATTTTGAAATCAGCATAGTGAGTTCACTCACCACTGACCTTCAAAGATCTAGTGATCTCTCTGGTTTGATATTTTCTCCCCCATCACCAATTTAAATCTGGCACTAAATCAAATCAATCTGTTTACACGTGCAGAAACATTGGTGTCAAGAGGCAGGGTAAGTGGCTTTGTGTTCAGGTTGTATGAATGCTTCAACTGTTGGTTCTCTGGTGAACGTTTTTGTTTCATTCTCAGCCAACACCACAACAAAACATTAATTTATTTAATTGTTGAACTGGTTGTATATAAATTGGTTGCTGTTTGTCTAGGTTACTGTAATAAAACCTCAGTTGGCTGAGAAATCCTGGGGCATCCGAGA